TTCATTATGACTTAAACATGACACAGTGCTGATATTACAGACAAATGCTGAAATACTTACATATGTTCTTATAAAAATTATGTAGGAATTAAACATTCGTTGTCTAAACCAACAAGTATTGGTTAACCTATATTTAACTAGGAAAGGAGCACTATAAGACAATTGATCATTTCCACTGAAAGACACTTTATTGGTTTCATAGTAATGTTTTCAATTTTATGTGGACTATAATCTAATTCCTAACTACAGGTGAATGTACAAATTGATTCGCTTACAAATAACAAGTCTTCATAAAAATATAAATATTTACTATTGTGTTAAATATTTTTATATTGCTTTCTGCTTTTATATTTAATTATTATTATGATCTATTTATGTTACTTGACTATTTCTTGAGGATTTCTGCAGAATATAGGTTACTGATTAGGAAAACATACAGGCTTAATTCTCTTTTAAAAAAATAGAAACTAAGAGGATTTAAAATTGCTTAAACTGTATTTTATAAATCGTGGTGTCAATAATAACTGAAAGAGGAAAAAGAAAGTAGGAAATAGCTAAATAAAATAAAACAAAGATAATTAGGTCCTATAAAAATCAAACATTGCTAAGATTCATCTAAATTTTACAGCCAACATTTCCAAGGCATGAGTAAAAATTAAGAGAGAAACTACAAGCACTAAATATTTGGAAATACTGCTGCATATATTTGTCCTCTTAATTTAGATATATATGTTATATATAATATATTATATTATATTATATCTAATTATATGTAGCAAAGTATATCTAATTTATATCTAATATATATAGCAAAGTCCTTTGGTAAGGATTATCAATTATATATAATATATAAAGCAAAAAACAATTATATGTAATAAATAATTTATAAATTATATATTATATATAAATTAAGAGGGCAAATACATATACACACACATATATATATATTAGATACAGATATATAATTAGTTACAGATTTATGTCTGTCGGCCAGACTGGAGTGCAATGGTGCGATCTCTGAATGCTGCAATCTCTGCAAGGCAGTTTTATTGAAGAAGAATACTTACAGGAGTTGCTCTAATAAGGAGCAAAGGCCTAGGACAAAACTACAGTAGTTCAGAGAATAATATTTGCCCTGCAGCAATGAATAGCTAGTGGAGCCAACTAGAGAATCAGAGATAAGATTATACAAATATAGGGAACCCTTTCATGAGAAGGTGGCAGAGCTAAACATCAGGGAACCTTTTCAGTAAATGTGCATCTATACACACGCACACACACACATATGTGTGTGTATATACATGTGTGTGTGTGTGTATATATATGCACATTTGTGTATATACACATGTGTGTGTATATATATACACACACACACACAATTACTTAGATCTACGTGTGTGTGTGTACATATATATATGCCTCTATATACACATAAGCATCTTCTCACACACACAAATGTAAGGAATGAATCACTTAATACTCACTGATAGTCCTTACCAAAAAGTAAACATTTCTAAAACATTGTTGAGTTAATCCAATTCCATAGCCTTGGTTCTTTTAAAATGCCACAAGGTTCATAAGAAAGAATAGTAAATATTTCCCCAGAAATTAAAATTCCCATCAAATTCATATATGAGTGGTATTCTGAATATTTATAATATCACAGTTTTTATCCACTAAAATTTCTAAGACTTTGACGTTTTAGATTTTCTACACACTCAGAGAAATTATTTTGTGTAATCTATTAACAGGCTACATTAGATTCCCCACTTAGCAGAGAACAAGAGAAAAATGTTGAAGAAGTATCTTTTGGTTACAAGTAAATGAAGCTTCAGTAAAAAATGTTCACTTGCTCTGGCATGTCACTGCCTCTTTACTCTCTATGGGTCAGGTCAAGAGGAGACCTGAGAGAACAGGTGTACAGTAGGTTACTGAGCAGGCACAATAATCCAGGTGTGTGTAAGGAGTACACATTGGCATCAGATACAAAGGGAAATCAAGAGAAATGAGAGGTTTTTCCATGTCTTTGCTATTGTGAATAAGTCTGCAGTGAACATGGGAGTGCAGATATATTTGCTAGTGGTGTATTTCATTTTCTTTAAATAAATACCCAGTAGTGGGATTGCTGGGTGATATAATAGTTCTATTGTTAATTTCTTTAGGAACCATCATATTGTTTTCCATTATAGCTACATGAATCTACATTCTCACCTACAGTGCACAAGTGTTCCCTTTTCTCTATACTCTCACCAACACTTGCTATCTCTTGTCTTTTTAATAATAGACATCCTAAGAAGTGTGAAGTGATATTTCATAGTGGTTTTTATTTGCATTTTCATGATGATTAGTGATGTTGAGAACCCATTCATATAACCATTGGCCATTTATTTGTATGTGTCTTCATTGGAGATATGGCTATTCTGGTTCTTTGCCAATTATTTAATCTGGTTATTTGACTTTTTGCTGTTGAGTTGTATGAGTTCTTTTAAATAAATCCCTTATCAGATAGAGGAATAAATAAAGAAACTGTGTTATATATTTATAAAGGAATATTATTAAGTATTGTCAAGGAAGAAAATCTTGCCATTTGCCACAACATGGATGAGTCTGGTGGACATTATGCTAAGTGAAATAAGCCAGACGCAGAATAAAAATATTGCATGATCTTACTTATATGTGGAATCTTTAAAAAAGTTCAATGTACAAAGATAGAGAATAAAATAACACGTAGGGGGTATGAGGAGGGAGGAAATGGAGAGATGTAAGTCAAAGAATACAAAGTAACAGATATGTAAGATAAACAAATCTAGAAATCTAATGTACAACATGAGGACTATAGTTAATAATATTGTATTATATTTGAGATTTGCGATGGGTGAGTAGATTATACTTGCTCTTTCCATGCACACACAAAAATGAGTAACTTTGTGAGATGATGGATATAATTTGCTTCACTATAGTAACCACATTAATATCTATATGCATAACATATTGCATACCTTGAATATATATAATAAAATTTATTTTATAGAAAAAATGTGCTAAAAAAACTGGACTGGAAAAAAGAACCTCACTGTATGACATATTTCTGTCATCAAAGTGTGAGGTCATCTTTTGTGAGTCATTGCATTTTCTGGACTTCTTTGTTCTCATTTGTATAGTACTAGCTTAAGGGCTCTAAAGACTTATATTTCTAAAATGTATGTTAGTCAACTCTACAAATGTTATGATTTTGATGATGGTGTCTGAAACCAAAGATAGGAAATATAGTTCTAGAAACCAGGCATGGGAACCCCTTATGGAAAGAAATGATAAAGGATTATAATGAGGAAATGTGGTAGAAGTAAGTGGATCGGTGCATAGAAGGATAGTTAAAGGAACAAGTCTTGCCAAATATAGATCAATGAAAGTGATGGTCCCTATGAACTATTTTGTTGGAACAACTTTTCAAAATTACTAAATAAATTCACTTTAAAATATCTGAAACTAGTAAGTGTGTACAAGTTGAGTGGTTGAAGGAATTGAATAAGTTTTGGAAAAGAGAGGCAAAGAGTTTTCTTCTCATGCATTTTATTGTTCTTGATTTTGAATCAAATAAAAGTATTACCCATTAAAATTATATGAATAAGAAGAAATTCTGCTTCAATAAAATATGCTGTATGATATTAAAACAAATATTAAACAGCATTATAAAATGTTAAGACAAAACGGCAAAGCATATATACTACTTAGGACCACAGTGAAAGCTTCATGTTAGTGAAGTATAGAATGGATTCCTATTAGAGTGTATCAGTTTATAAAATTGGGCTGTGATGAGAAAATTCATGATGCCAGCTGTAAACAAAACCACAGAAGCTATTTAATTTTGTGTCATTCGTGTTGCCATTCTTATTGACACAGTACATAGTGTTTCAACAAATACATATTTCCAACAAGATCCATGACATTCAATTCCATGTTTACAGAAAGATACTTTGAAAGCTCAATATTTTTAAATAAATATATATTTTTTAAATTTGAGCACTAGACTGGGTGCAGTGGCTCAAACCTGTAATCCCAGCACTTTGGGAGGCCGAGACGGGAGGATCACGAGGTCAGGAGATCGAGACCATCTTGGCTAACATGGTGAAACCCCGTCTCTACTAAAAAAATATATATATATATGAAAAACTAGCTGGGCGAGGTGGTGGGCACCTGTAGCCCCCGCTACTTGGGAGGCTGAGGCAGGAGAATGGCATAAACCTGGGAGGCGGAGCTTGCAGTGAGCTGAGATCTGGTCACTGCACTCCAGCCTGGGCGACAGAGTGAGACTCTGTCTCAAAAAAAAAAAAAAATATCTGAGCAATAATTTTAAATGTATAAATAATTATTCCATATGATTTCATTTCTTGTTACTGAATTTTAATGAGAATGCTTATGTTATCAATATCTGCAAGGTTTTACTTGCTTTTTAAAAAATTCATCAAAGCAAGTAGGTATATTAGAGAAGAGAATGAAAGGAGCTAAATAATCATGCCCATCCTCGTCCTCAACTGAATCCTCTTTCAAGCTTAATTCAATAATCGTTGTAAATATTTATCAACCTTCTCCAATTTGTTTAAGGTACATACTACACTCTAGTTTTTGGTGAAAAGCACTTCCAAGTTCCTTTTAATTTCTCCACTAATAATACACCTTGGAAAAGTTTATGATTTACAAATTACACATTACAGTGAATTGTTTAATAGCTACATTTTATTAGGCCACCAATCTATATGTTGAATATTCCATATTGCATATGGGGATTAGGAATATTTTATATTAAAAGTTATATTCTTTTGCCTGAAAAAAAAATAAAAAACAGCAAAAAAATACATTACTTTTACAATTAAGAACAAGGAGGTGAATTGAGCTTTCATTTTGTAACAACGTCTTGCTTGGTAAAGAAAGACCGCTTCATAGAACTGAATTCATCCTGAATAAGACCACAGTCTTAATTTACTGTATTATGTTCTCTTTAGGAACATTAGTCATCCAGGTAACAGCAAGTGATGCTGATGACCCTTCAAGTGGTAATAATGCTCGTCTCCTCTACAGCTTATTACAAGGCCAGCCATATTTTTCTGTTGAACCAACAACAGGTATTTGTGAATGAAACAAGCAAAGTTTAACATGATTCTAAAGAAGGCAATTGTCAGCAAAAATTATCTGCTTAGAAACATGTTTCACAGTAGACCTGATATGCCAATACATAAAAAGATTGCAATTCCTAAGCATTTAATTACTTTTAGTCTTTTAGCTGATATTTCTAAGGTTAGGAAATTGGATTTTCCATGTCCGTAGCACAAATTACTTGCATATGTGGTATAAATCATATGTAAGGATTCCTTTAAGTGAATTAGAAAAAGAGACAAGCAACCCAATTTAGAAATAGAGGGAAAAGGCTTTTATAAGCAATTGACAAAGAACAATATACAAAAGCCAGTAAGCATATTAAAAATGCTCAGCCTCATTAGTCATCAGGGAATACAAACTAAAACCACAATGAAATACAGCTGCATACCCCTACAGAATGACTGAGATTAAGTCTGAGTATGAAGCTAAGTGTACAAATTGTTATGAGACATTCACCTAAAAATAATTCTGTATTTTACGTATTTCTGATTTACATGAATACAATATGTGATTCTTTTTCTGCATTGCTTTACCAATTTGCATTAATCAATTAAATATAAAATAAGTAGAACACATGCTTTTATCTTTTCTTTAAATAATCATATGACCCTAATTCATTAAACAAATCTTAATTGTTGTGTTCAAAACAAATATTAGGCCCATATAATTTTTTTTCCTTTAGGAGTTTATAGTCTCCACTGATTTAAAAAAAAGGATATAACTAATCAGCCAAGAACGTGAGAAGCGCCCAAGAAGTAAAATTCTATGGTTTCTGATACAAGGAAAATATTATTTCCAGCTTATATCAAAACCTTTAAAGAATTAAAGTATTGTGTTCGATCTTTAAACATTTCTTATTTATTTACTCAGTAAATACTGAATGTCTCAGCCTTTTTCAGTTAAGGTTTCTTTAGAGAATCTGATCCTAAAAAATATTATTTGAGTGACTGTGTTCTTAATTCTCTCAAGAATGTACATGGCCTTTATTTTTTCAGATGCAGGGAAGGAAAATTATTGTATTATACGCAACGAATGCCTCAAAACATTAGACTTTAATTCCTTCCCACATTCAAGTCTCAAAAGGCTGAATATGTACCAAGTGTTATACAACTTGCTAGATTTATAAAGGTACAAAGTTGCAAAATTTAAAATGAAATATAATAGTAACAAAAACAAAATACACTCATGGACTCTTCTTTCTTGGAACTTGCAGATAGACATGAAACATGAATAGTGATGCACACATACATTCCACTGTGGGTAATTAGGAAGTAAAACCAAAAAGTTCCAGTGGGAGAAAACAAGTGAGGCTCACTTTATATTTTGTGGTCAAGGCAGAATGCACTGAAATCAGAATTTTGGCTGAGCCTGTAGACAAGGAAGGGAAAGCGGAAGATGATTCCAAGGCATGGGAAAAATTAGGGAAATTCCTGAGGTGGGAAAGAGTTGAAACTCTTAGAATAACAGGACACCAGTGTGGAGAAACACAGCAGAAAGAAGAAAGGGAGGTGTCTAGAGTACAAACACATGCTGGGGCATACCGGGCCTTCGTGACCATGTTTTCTTTCCACTTTGCACACTGACTTTTTAAATATACTGAGTAGGGTAGCTAAATTATAACTTGCATTGCTGGAGAAGAGTTGGTATGGACAGCAACAAACATGGATCAAATTACTGAAAGCATAAGTTCTGAAGTGCATAAGATCCAGAAATACATATTCTTTATTCAGTCTAAAGGCTGAGAGGAAAAGTTGAAAGCTAAGGAGGCGCAGTTAATGGGGAACAAAGACTCCTACGTCCCTCTCCCTTGAGTCACATACGGGGAGATGTTAGCAGCACTTGCGCAACATATTCAATGCTTTCCATCGGGATTCAGATAATTGGTTACATGTGTGAAACACTTCAGTCTGCAGCTAAAATCCCCTCGTGTTATGGTCTCATTTATCTTTTAAAACTACATATAACAATTTTTTAAAAAAATTATGTTACATTAAATTTAATCCAATATATCAAAAATATTACCATTGCAACAAATAATCAATACAGAACTATGGAGATAGTTCACATTTTTTGTTCTCAGTCTTTGAAATCAGGCTTTTATACTCATATGTCAATTTTTTTTCACAAATTCATTGTATTTTTTTTTAATTTGCTTTTATTTTAGGCTCAGGGAGTAAATGTACAAGTTTGTTATGTGGGTAAATTCTGTGATGCTGAGGGTTGGGGTACTAATGATCCCGTCACAGACAGGTAGTGAACATACTACCTGATCAGAAATTTTTCAACTATCTCCCTCCCTCCTTCCTTCCCCTCTCTAGTAGACCTGCGTGTCTATTGTTTCCATCTTTATGTCCATGAATATCACAATTTTTATTGACTATTTTGTCCGTGATATATTTGGGTATTGGCTATTATCTATTTTTTGTGAATGTCTATGTGTTTCCCAAATCTTTAGAAATGTTGAGCCCTCTCCTATGAACCCATCTTAAGATTTTCTTAGATTCTTCTCAGTGATAATTAATTTATACTAAATAATCTTATAGAAGTGAAGCATTTATTGCAATATATGTCATCAATTATCTTGAGTTTGAATATATCATATACATGTATATACACACACACAGACACACACACGCATATAAAATAACTGTGGGTCAACAACCAGGTTTTCTTCAGATCTCATAATTCTAAGCAGGCTTCAAAATAATAAGGGCATGATATTTATTTCATAAATTTGGTATTATAATTTACAAATTTATCAATAATATACTAACTTCAGAGTTTCGGGGACAAAGTTAATTGTAGCAAGCCGATATTATGTTAGAGAAGATAGCAGAAAATAGTTTAAAGTAAAAAACAAGACATTCTTTTTTTTTCTACCTGTGGATTATCTTAACATAGTATTTTATTAAGGGCCTACCAGTGTTCCTAGTATTGTTCCTAGTATTGTGATGATCACTCTACACTCCAGGCAGTGTTGATGTTTAATTTATTATTATTATTTTTCTCCAGGGAAGTCTCTGTCACATTGTAGTGGTTCAACATACAGCAAAATAATGTATAGTGCAGTGGTTAAGAAATTAACTAGAACTTCGTCATGATTAATAATGAAATAATTGGAATTTTATTACATTTTTAAAGGAGTCATAAGAATATCTTCTAAAATGGATAGAGAACTGCAAGATGAGTATTGGGTAATCATTCAAGCCAAGGACATGATTGGTCAGCCAGGAGCGTTGTCTGGAACAACGAGTGTATTAATTAAACTTTCAGATGTTAATGACAATAAGCCTATATTTAAAGAAAGTAAGTAAAAAGCATTCTAAATCTTCATTATAATATAAATATAAGTGTGTTAAATAGAAGTAGATTTTATTGTTTTCATTCTAAAAATACTACATTAACACTGAAATTATATAAAATAAATTTGCCAATTGTTCTGGTATGATTATTCTAATTCATGTTGAAAGTTAAATATAAATGAAGGAATAATGTGTTAGTTTCTATTCCTGCTGTAATAAATTGCCACAAACTTCGTGGCTTAAAACAAATGTATTATGGGTTTCACTGGGTTATGATCAAAGGATTCCGGGAGGCATTTCTCGCTGTAGGATCTAGGGGAGTATTCACTTCCTAGTTCATTAAGGGTTAGCAGAATTCAGTTTACAATATTTGTAGAGTTAAGGTCTCTGTTTTCTTCATGGCTGTAAGTTGGGAGACATCCTTAATTCCTGAAGGCCTCTTTATGGTTCTGGATTTAGCCCACACATCCCAGAAGCAGCAAGGAGTGCCACATACTTCACACACTGACAACTCTCTAACCCACACATTTGCCTCTTCTACTTTTAAGCACTCATGTAATTAGACTGAATGGATAAAGCAGGATAATATTCCCATCTCAAGGTCAGCTAATTAGCAGCCTGAATTCCATCTGCAACCTTAATTCCCTTTTGCCACTTTCGGTAACATATTTACGGGTTCAGGGGAATTCGGACACAGATATCTTTGTGGGGTCCTTCTTCTGCAAACCATAGATAATCATTTAAAAATGACTTTTTGTATTTCTTTTTACTTTATAGCCAGAATAGGCCACACCTGCTCTAATAATGTAAGCAATTGCTACAAGCTAAATATAAGCACATAGTATGCTTCATAAAATTTTTTTATGCAATTGTTGGAGGAATTTCTTTTCTAGGAAATTTATTTTTTAGGTTATACAGTTTTAGCTACAGAAATACATTTATAAGCACTTCCAGAAAGCAGAAGTAATTATCATGCTAGGAAGAAAATTTAATTATCATGGAACAAAGAAAGGAACCAATAAAAAATTATACCATAGCATGATTTCTTAGTTGTTGTTTATAGACAGAAACAAAACTATCTTTTGATTACGTTTTTTCTTATCCTTTTCTGTACTTTGCCCCCATTCCTCAAAGTCAAGTGAAATCATGTCATTTTTAATGGCCCAAGTGAAGTATTACTTTCACTGACTTCCTTCTGGTAGTTGAGTCCATGAATAAGCACAGGACGTTGGCATCATACAAATTTGCTTTTAAACCCTGAATTTTCCATTCATTAAGTGTACAGACTTGAGAATACTGTTAATGTGTGTGTGCACACACAAATGCCCACACCTAAATAATACAGACACTACTGAGTATAGCCAACACATGCAAGGTTATCAGATCTTTTGATTTTTCAATAAATATCACAAATCTCAATTTTTTATTTCTGCCCTATCTCACCATTTTAAATTTGGTCATATTAAAAAATTACCACTGTTACATGGGTTGAGAAAACAGTTCCTCTGTGGATGGACTATAGGCAAAGGGGTCAGAGTTTACACCTTCATCTCTCTCTATGTAGTGTAATGTATGATGTGTGTGACTGTCCACAACATTAATGTGGCCTCTGAAGGCAAGAGGGGAATGTCAAGTTAAATATGAAATATCCAGAACTTTATAAAATAATTGGTGTATAATATGTGGGAAATAGTGACTGGATTTATTCAATAAATTTGGTCTAAATTTTATGTAGATGATGATTAAATAGCAAGTAGAAGACTCTGGAAGACAGGAAGATTCCCAAAGAACTTGTTGCGATAAAATATCCTGAAGCTTCTACTCCCTTTCTCAGTTTCCCTCTGATTTTTCTCAACTTTGATATTAAAATATTTTAAATAAATTAGAATTTTAAAATATGTTTTAAAATTGTCTTCGTTAGTCGAATCTGAATATGAGATGATGGTATTACTCTTAGTACTTTCACTCAAATACGAGTGTGGGTGAATCTGATACTGGCCTCCTTACTCTTGTCCACACGATTTTCCCTTGTGGGAATCCCATTACCCTCCTCTCAATTTAAATACTCAATACCTATACCCAGTGTTGTGGGCAACACTCTCTACTCTCCCAATTAAAGGCATCTCTCAAACATCCCTCTCCCTTGTGTTAACAGCGTCCTCTGCTGGTTCATATCTGTCATATCCAAACATACTTATTATTCTTGTTTCTCACATCCTAAAACAAAACAAAACAAAAACACTATCGTGCCTTCACTTCCATACTCAGCTAAAAATGCTTTGTATTTCTCCTTTCTCATTAGATAATATTTCTTAAAAATGTTGTGAATACTTACTGTTTTCAATTAATGACCTCAAAATCTCAGAACTTACTCCATTTGAGCTACATCCACACTACTTGACCAAACTGATCTGATCATTTCTATCAATAACCTAAATGGAAGTAAATGCAATGTCAATTCTCAATTATAACACTTGATTTATTGGAAGAATTTGACATAATTGATCAACCTCTCCTTGAAAACCTTAATGTTCCATTCTCATTAGCTTTTTCTTCGATCTTACTAGTCCCTGTTTTTTTCATTCTTTGCCTTTTCTTCTTCTATATATACTTTAAACTTTAGAATATCTGTGAGTCAAATACTCATTCCTTTATGATCTTAACCAGACACATGGCTTTACATACCACCTCTGTACTGACAAGCTCGTATTAAATATACATCTCCAGACTGAACTTCTCCCATGAGCT